CTACAATTTACTTACAACTGAAACGCTCTCACAAATCTCCTAATTCATCTTCATTAACCTTTAACCCACCCTCAACTTCCTTCCCTACACCGTCTCATGATAACAATAATCACCCGCATTCGATAGTAACTAATGGCAACCAACATACTGAAATCCATCAACCAATCAGACGTTCCCACAGACTTCAACAACGTCAAAAACAACGCGAAAATTCAAATGATCAATCTTTCTGATGAAGGCTCGAAGTACCGAGTCGAAAGCTCAAAACAAATTATTACAATCCGGAGAACACTGTATAATTTTGTAAAAATTATAATTTAATAAAATGCCTGGATTATTACAAATCTTCAAATCTATTAAATATATATATGTATATATATATATATATATATATATATATATATATATATATATATATATATATATATATATATATATATATATATATGTATATATATATATATATATATATATATATATATCCTAACTATTGAAAAATTTAATTTAAAAAACGAGTACGCGCCATTTCCATGAGCAAAGTTTTTACTGCCTTAACGTAACTACGATAAGATTAGTTGTCCCTAACTTGTTGTGGTAAACTGTTAAATATGGTAGCTGCAGAATGTCCAAATGTATTATTTGTTCTAGGAATTTCTAACATCCTGCCATTATTACTACTACGTAGTACCCTCCCGTGATGCTTCACATGGACTGATAAATACGATGGCCAATTGTCAAAAAGTAGAGATTTAAAAGTAAATTTTGCAATACTAAGTTCAATTCTTTCCTTTACCGGCAACCAATACATTTTCCGTATTTGCATATCGACCTTGCACAAAACTTTCCGCCGCATTTTGTACTCTCTGTAAGCTTTTTAAAAGATAGGTTGGCAATGTAATGTATAAAACATTACAATAATCCAATTTGGAAAGTACCAAAGCCTCCGCGAGTTGTTTGCTGATATGAAATGGCGTAAACCGATTTAATTTCTTCAAAATAGCTAAGACACCATAGGAAGACGAAGTTAGCTCTGTGACGTGATTGTTCCACAGAAGGTTCTGCTGGAAAAGCATTCGAAGTACTTTTCAAGATGAAACTGTTTCAATGGGTTTGCTATTTACAGTTATTTCAACCTCATTTTCTCTATCTAGATTGTGGTATCTGGCCATTTGTTGTGTGGCAAACATCATCATTTTGGTTTTAGATTCATTAAAAATAAGATTACTACGTGTAGACTAATTGCTGATGTTTGACAATGACTCTTCTAGATTTGATTTACAGGCATGCGCAGCTTTGTCATTGACCTTGCAGTGCTGATAGAAAGTTGAATCATCAGCATATTGTAGACAGCTTTCTTGTGTATCGATACTACGTTGCATATCGGCGACGTACAATTTGAAGAGTACTGGCTCCTTATATAGATCTCTGTGGCACACCAAACGTTGTGGCGATTTTAGTGGAAGATTTATAATTCACTTGCACGTATTGCTGTCTGTCTGTCATATAACTTACCAACCAATGTAGTAATGACTTGGAAAAGTTCAACTTATACAATTTACTGATACGTATTTCAAAGTCAACCTTGTCGAATGCTTTGGAGTAATCCGCAAATATGGCCAAGGTTATCTCGCCTTTTTTCATAGCTTTTGTAATGTCATCTTTAAATTTCAACCATGTAGTTGCAGTAGAGTGGCCTTTTCTAAATCCTGAATGAGTATCCATATACAAGCAAAACCTGTCAATAAATTCTTGCATTTGTCGTAGTACCAAGCTTTCGTAAACTTTTGACAGTATAGGCAAAATAGCCACAGGACGATAGTCGTTATTTTCAGAAGGATTATCTGTTTTGGGGGATATATCCAAGTTTGGGGGAATATATTACTCTTTATGCAGGAGTTAATAATATGCGTCAGAGGCGAAACAATATATTCTATCACTGGTTGTATCAAACTCATAGGGATATTATCATATCCGGAAGAACACTCTTTCCTAATTCGCAATAGTTCCATTTTCACCTCCCTATATGTTACATTTCGAAGCCGAAACTCATCACCAGTGACACAAGGCATATTTTTTATTATTTGGTTAAGTTCGTCATATGATTTACTCTCTCTACCAGTCAACTGCTGTGCTATGTTTGCAAAATTGTTATTCAGCTTCTTGGGGTCTGCGTCGATTGGTCGCGGGTTAGGTTGTAAGATTCGATGAATAGTAGACCAAACCTCCTTAGGTCTTTTAGAGGACAGCGCATTGTAATAAAATAATTTCTTGGTTTCTTTAATGACTTTTTTTAACTGATTCCTCACTTTTCTAAATATTTGGCAATCGCTTTCCGAACCGGTATGGTGAGCATTATAAGGATACACATCTCGCTGCGACTGCAAGGACCTTATATTTAAGTCCTTCATCCATGGAGCTGGAGGCCTGGTTACACTTATTCGAATTAAGGGGGCATGATTGTCAAGACAGCCCAAAATCAGTTACTAAGAATATCCAATTTTCTTCCGGGTCACTTACTGCATACACGAGGTTAAAGGGCAATTGTCTAAGATCAGTGACAAATAATTCAATATTCAAATTCTTTTCATTTCGAATGTACTTAAAACGAGGAACAATTCGTGGAACTCTAATATTTACAATTATGTAGGCCGCATCATGATCACTAATCTCAGGACATGGTAGAACTCCCGTAGCAACTACTTTCTTCGGAATATTAGTAGCAATATGGTCGATTAATGTTTTGCCCTGTCTTGTGGGTTATTTAATCAACTGGGTTAGCTTGAACGTATTTAGTACTTCATTGTATTTGTTAGATATATGATCTTGTTTAGAAAGGTCAATATTTAAATCACCAGCCAATATTAGCACACCATCCCATTTGATCTAAATATTAGAAAGCAAATTCTCTAATTGGTTTAGCCATGTTTCTCTACTGGCATCATCAAAATTTAGTTGATATAATATTCCCAAAGAAAGTTACTGCACTTATTTTTGCCTGCGATTTAAAGCCACATATGCTCAAAAGTTTCAACAATATTTTCGATCTCACGGCGTCTCTTAAATTCGATATGATCTTTAATATATACTCCAACACCCCCACCTCGCTGTGCATTCCTATTTCTGTAGTCAAGTTTATACCTCGGCATTTGAACGTGTTCAATCAAGTGGTGATTATCTTTCAACCATGTTTCCGACAGTGTAATTATGTCGTGTTGGTATGTAGTACACATGATATAGAATTCATCAAACGCTGAGCACATTGACTACATATTAAGATGAATTATGCTGGTATGATTAGGGAATTGTTGCAGTTGTCGAAGATGTATGTCTAAATCAATAGTGTTATCGCGTGTATCTATATCATCATTAAATACCTCAGCAAGATCTCTTACAGAGTAAATGGGCAAGTTTGAGAGCGAACAATGTGAACATGTCCATGGTTTTGGTTCAGTAGCATTCAGAAAGGTGGTTTTGGTGCTAACATTGGCACATTTAAGATGACTGATAGATTTGCATATTATACATAAATATCGTATACTATTCTTCTAACCGGTTTAGAGCACTCTGGACATTGAGGACGACTTACTCGCGAGCTTTTAGATGCATTCGATCGATTTGGTCCAGGATTACTTTCAACATCCCCTGAGAGTATGATTTGAAAGCCTGCTATCGAATTTACATAGTATGGGATACGGGATTGTGACCATTTAATTTTATGTTTTTGCCGAGCAGTCAACCATTGTACACAAGTTTCAGCGTTATAATATGTAGTTGCGAAGTAAAAATTAGGTATACTTAGCTCACAGACTAAATTAACATTGATAAAATCCCACTCTCGACTGCTCTCAGCCTCAGTACAATATACATTTGTCGAACTAACCCATTCCGACTCATAAATCGCAATATCTATTGCCATAGCCCTCGCCCTTGTAACGTTGCGATACATAACACCATTAGTAGCGTTCAACATACAGCAATCGCAATAGGTTAAATTGGCGTTTGATTTCTCATCTTCCAACTTCAATACGACAGGGAAGCATCCATCACTAGTTGCCAATGGTATATTGATGTTTAGAGCAACAAATACAAAAAATACTGCGGCTAACATTAATTTAGTTGCTGAGCTTATCATAACAAGACTGACCGCCATTGTGTTTGGGTTAGATCCCTGGAAAATCTTCAGCAAATCGTCAATTGATTCGACATTCGGACACTGCTCCTACCTTAGGGTACCTTAGCCTACATTAGGGTACCTTTAGGGATGCCGGAATGATAAAAAGGCAAGGGGTGCAAACGCACACCAAAGGGCACCTCTAAAGACCCCGGTGAAGATATAACCTACAATTATGTGTTGACTTCCCAATGAAAGCAAACGCACTTAATCAGGTCACATTCAAGATCGCATTATCAGGTAGTATTTTTATAACTCAAAGGGTACTTCTTGCCCCCTTGCCCCTCCTAGCAAAAGGCAAGAGGGGCAGCTACCCCTCCTGCCCCCACAGTTCCGGCGTCCCTGGGTACCTTAGCCTACCTTCGCCTACTTTAGGGTACCTTAGACTACCTTACCGTACTTTAGGCTACCTTAGCCTACCTTAGGGTATCTTAGCATACCTTAGCCTACCTTAGGTTACCTTAGCCTACATTAGCCTACTTTAGGGTACATTATCCTACCTTAGCCTACCTTAGGGTACATTAGCATACCTTAGCCTGCCTTAGAGTACCTTAGCCTACCTTAGGGTACCTTAACCTACCTTAGGCTACCTTAGACTACCTTGGGTACCTTAGGGTACCTTAGCATACCTTAGCCTACCATAGCCTACTTAGCCTACCTTAGGGTACCTTAGACTACTTTAGGGTAACTTAGACTACCTTAGCCTACTTAGGGTAACTTATACTACCTTAGGATACCTTAGTCTACCTTACCCTACCTTAGGGTTCCTTAGCCTACCTTAGCCTACCTTAGGGTACCTTAGACTACCTTAGACTATATTAGCATATCTTAGCCTACCTTAGCCTACCTTAGCCTACCTTAGGGTACCTTGGACTATCTTAGGGTACCTTAGGGTATCTTAGTACCGTTACCTTAGCCTACCTTAGCCTGCCCTAGCCTACTTTAGGGTACCGTAGCCTACCTTAGATTACCTTAGGGTACCTTAGCCTACCTTAGCCTACCTTAGAGTACCTTAGGCTACTTTACGGTACCTTAGCCTACCGTAGGGTACCTTAGCCTACCTAAGGGTACTTAGCCTACGTTAGCCTACCTTAGCCTACCGTAAGGTACCTTAGCATACCTTAGCATACCTTGGCCTACCTTAGCCTACCTTAGACTACCTACAAGTTTTGTAATATTTCTAGGGAGTAAATATTTATTCGTATTATAATTTACCTCCAGTAGAGAGTAAATATTTACCTGCGCACGTAGTCACGCTACGCTACTTCACAAATTACCTCAATATGGAATGCAAGGCACTGAACTTGAATGGTTCAAGGACTATCTTTTTTGTCGCAAATAAGTCGTCTGGTAGAATGGATGTTTATCTGCCAATCACGACGAGTCTACTGGAGATCCACAAGTTAGATTTTAGGCCCACTATTGTTTTTGGTATATTTTAATGATGTTATAGAGGCAATTGAGCACTCAAGTATTGTCAGCTAGGCTAATGACACCATTCTGTCTGTTGTTGGAAAGGATATACAATCAATTCAAACCAAGTTATAGAAGGATATGGACAGTTTAGCATGTTACATCTTTAGCTCACACAGACTCAAATAAACAAACTGTATCTTTCTATGATTGTGCGGTGAAACTTGCGTGTAAGAATGGCAATGAATTGATCATGACCATAATCTGCCATGTTGTAATTTGCAGATAATATAGCCCTGCGAAATTTGCAATTTTCAGTCATTTTGTATTACCAATGGGAAATTGATCTCGTCCACACGTTTTTTGGATTGCTCGTCATTTGGATGAAAAGTCACCCGATTGCAAACAAAGAATTAACATCATGTGTATGTCCAAGTCAGCATCGGTTGAACTACAATTAACAGACAATTGACATAGCTAGTTAATGCCTCATTATTATATTTTAGGACGATTAGATAAAACAAGCGATGCTAAAAATATTAATACAATTATAGTAGTGAGCAGATAAGTTCTAACAATAATTGATTAATTTTTTTACAACTAATTAATTTAATAATACCTGTAAAGTAATAATAATAATAATATTATGACAATACAATACAATACAATACGGTACAGTACAGCACAGCACAGCGCAGCGCAGCGCAGCGCAGCGCAGTGCAGTGCAGCGCAGTGCAGTGCAGTGCAGTGCAGTGCAGTGCAGTGCAGTGCAGTGCAGTGCAGTGCAGTGCAGTGCAGTGCAGTGCAGTGCAGTGCAGTGCAGTGCAGTGCAGTGCAGTGCAGTGCAGTGCAGTGCAGTGCAGTGCAGTGCAGTGCAATGCAATATAATTGACCTTTGATTCCCCTTATAACTAGAATTTTGATCTAGACAAAAATTTCCTCACAGCTAGAAAGAGCATCACAAAATTAGTAATATTCCAATGTTTCGTTGCGAAATGTTGTAAAATGCGGATAATATAGTCTTGCGAAATTTGCCGTTTTTCTGTCATTTTGTATTACGCATGGGAAATTGGCAGCCCAATCGGGTCATATATTGCCATTCTTAAAAAAAGTTTCACCGCACAATCATAGAAAGATGAAAGTTTGTTTATTTGAGTCTGTGTGAGTTAAAGATGTAAGATGCCACAATACGTAAGCGTTGGTAA